ACGAATTAATCTCTGTATCTTTGACTCTGGCTTTCTTTTCTTTCCTCTTCTCTTTCCTCCCTCCCTCTCCTTTCCCCCTCTCTCCCTCTTTTCTCCCTTTCCCTCTTTCACATTTTCCGTCAAAAGTCTTCTCAGAGAGCTGAGATTTACTTTTAAAAGAGATTGCATCGTCTTAAACCCATTTAAATTCTATTTTAAGCTTGTTCGAGGATTTAGAACAGGAGACATTCATATCTTACTATTTTTGATAAAACCCTAATGTCTGGGATGCTTGACTCATAGATGCTTATAAATATGATTTGCTTTGAAAGCTGCTAATCAAACAAAGCTGGAAATAAGTGGAAGTGAGACTTTATTAGTAAGGAAACCATAATGCTTTAAAAACCTGTGATTGATATACTTGCCTCTTCTGTCATGTCATATATGTGTCCTTTAAGGTTTCTGAAAGAATGTAGATGAGACGTAGTATTCAAACAGATTAGAGGAACCATTCCGGAGAGTAATTAGAAATTCAATGATATTTTTCAAAAGATAAGTTGAAGTTAAATCTCTTTTAAAGGCAGAGAGCACCTTTTGTGTGATTTTCAGCGATGTTTTTATCCAGCGGTTCCCAAAGTTTGATCCCCAGACCAGCAGTATCAGCATCATCTGAGAACTTGGATGAATTACCTAGATACATCAGACCTTTAGATGATTCCAAAAGAGCTGAAGTTTGAGAATCACTGCTGTATACAGGGCTGTGTTTATTTTTATTAACTAGCTCAGCTTGGCATGGTAGTTTGGAGTAATGCTGTATGGGACTGAACTTTCTATTGCAAGTGACAGAAATCCAACTTGAACTAGCTTAAGAAAAAGAGAATTTACAGGTTCCCTTAGCTGAGTTGGAAATTAGTGGGTTAACTCACAGATTCAAAGCAATAATTAGAAGAATCAGGACTGAGGAGCCTTTAACTGCTTGTCTCCACATGACTTTCCTTTTTATAGATTGGGTACTTATGTATCCTTGACAAGTGGGAAGGATGGTCATAGGCAGTTCCCAATTCATATCCTCTGGACTAACCAACTGTAGTAAGAGCTGCTTTTTACTGTTTCACAAGTCTTAACCCTTAAGCATCACGTTCATGGGAATGAGCGTCAATGACTAGATTAGCCTGGAACATGTGTCTCTCTGGGAGGAAGGAGAATAGAAAAGTGTGCTGTTTTGACAGTGTAGTTCACTACTAGATATCTGGGTTGCTTTCAGATAAGCTTAACTGTCTTTCAAGCAGAGAAAAATCTGGAGGCTTATAGAGTTAGAAAATGCAATATATTCAAACGTGTAGTACTTTAAACTACTTTTTGTGTCAGAGAGTAATTAACCACTTCATTAAAGGTTTGGGGTGCCAAATATGGGAGTTGATATTTTAGGTTTATTATTTTGTAGAGTTAATTTTTTGTCACTTTAAAAGTTAGTATAGCCTAGGACATTGGACAATGCAGAGAAATAGAGAAAAATCACCTAGTGTTCTGCTGTCCACAGACAACTACATTTTGGTAAATTTCCTCTGCATATTTTCTTGCATAGTTATGATCGTATTATGTTAATTTTTAAAATTTGTTTTGATCAGTATTTATAACTTTCTGTCAGAGTAGTGGAAACGTAATCTCATTCAATACAGATTCCGCCAGGGTTGTATGATGTTTATTTTTTTGAAGACTTTATTTTTTTAGAGCAGTTTCAGGTTCACAGCAAAATGGAGAAGATGGTACAGAGATTTCCCATATACTCCCTGCCCCCTGCCACAACATACATAGCCTCAACATCCCCCACCAGAGTGGCACATTTGTTGCAACTGATGAATCTGCACTGAAACATCATAATCGTCTAGAGACCATAGTTTACATTACTGATTCACTCTAGGTTTGTGGGTTTGCACAAATGTATAATTACATGTATTTATCATTATAATATCATACAGAATATTTTCACTGCCCTAAAAATCCTCTCTGTTCCATCTATGCACACCCTCCAACAGTGATCTTTACTGTCTTCATAGTTTTGCCTTTTCCAGAATGTCATATACTTGGACTCATACAGTGGATGGCCTTTCAGATTGGCTTCTTTCACCAAATATGTGTTTAAGATTCTTCCATGTCTTTTCATGGAGTTATAGCTCATTTCTTCTTAGCATTGAGTAGTATTCCATTGTCTGGGTGTACTACAGTTCAACCATTCACCTGCTGAAGGACATTTTGGTTGCTTCCAAGTTTTGGTTATTATGAATAAAGCTACTATAGATATCTGCCTGCAGGTTTTTGTGTGGACATAGTTTTCAACTCTTTTGGGTAAATACCAAGGACCATGATTGCTAGATCTTATGGTAATATCTTTAATTTTTTAGGTAACCTTCAAACTTTTCCAAATGTCTGTACCATTTTGCATTTCCACTAGCAATGAATGAGAGTTGATGTTAATTTTCAAACCTTGTTTTTTCATTTAAATTCACAAATTAAAAGATATGTTCCTTTTAAGTTTCTTGACATATAGCACCAGCATTAGATATTTTTAATTGTTAATTTGTTAAATTGTTCATTTGATGGACAAAAAGCTATCTCAGATTTTTTGAATTTTTTGTGTCCATGATTACTAATAAGTGAGCTTTTTTGGTTATCTGTTTTATAGTTCCTCTATTGTTACTTTCTGCATTCTTAATTCACTTATCTATTAACATCTTAGTGGTTTTCTTATTGATTTGTATGAGTTCTTTAAATGAGCTTTATTTTCTTTTTTTAAATTAATTTGTTATGGTGACATTGGTTAACTAAATCCAATAAGTTTCAAGTGTACAATTCAGTAATAAGTCATATATATTTCACATTGTGTGTTCACCACCCATAGAGCTTTATTTTCTTTAGTTTCCTAGTTCATAGTTTGTTTTTTGATATGTATAAACCTAAATTATTTTGTGTATTTAAATTCCATCTGGCTTTCAATAGGTTGTTTCATCATTTTTAAGCTTAGACATTCTGTCATTTGAGAGATCCAATAACTTTTCTTTTGCATTTTTTGTTGATTATAACTCCTTAATTCATATAGAATTTATTTTGCAGCATGATGTAAGGTGAAGGTATATTCTTCATTTGATTAATGCTTTGAATTTTTATATAAGCTCTATCATTCTTAAAATGCAATTTTCAAGCTTTTTAGTAATTTCTGTAGGCTAATGATTCTTGATTCATTGTAAGGTTTAAGATGATTAAAGATGGCTAAGAAACTTTAGTGACAATATATTTAGCAATTAAAAAATGATAACCTCTTAACAATCTATAAACTTTCTCATCAGAGTTAAATATTTAGACAACATTTCTGGTTAGCCTTCTGTTAGAACAGCAGAGGCATTTGTATTTTCTGGGCATAACATTTATTTATGAAGAAAATTATGGCAGAAACTCATTTAAACAGTGAGAAGATTCTAGACTATTCAGACAGTGCAGGATTTTGAAAAAGTCTTGTGCTTTGGCAGGAGCCCAGGAGAGGAAGTGTCTGCATCTGCTACATTCTAGAAGCCGTCCCAGAGTTACTGTAAAGCAGCCAAGAGAGCAGTGTATTTTACTACTGTGTGGTTCTGGAAGTATCTGGAAGTTTGCAGCAAACTTGAGGGAGGAGACTTAAAAGTACTTCCAGACTGTTAGTCTCTATGGTGATCTATTTTTATTGAGATTCAAGTTAGGAAAGTGGGGTTATTTTTTATTTTTATTTTTTTTGGAGAATAGGGAGCTTTCCAATGTGGACTTGAACCTGCTGGTTTAGGTAAAGTCATTTGAGAAGAGTCAGAGGTGCCTGCACAATGAGGAATAGGGTGACAAAACATTAGCCAGTGAGAACCTGTCATTGGGGCAAATGGCACTTTAATGGTAACTTATTCTCCTGTAAGGTAATATGAAGGGCTTAAAAGTCCATGTATGCGATGGAGAAGGAGCAAGAGGAGTGCTAGAAGGGCATTTGGTAAAGCAAGGTAAAATCTTTCTGCTAGTTAGTTGATATCTGCATTTGCCATGAAGAATCTATTCTAGAAAAAGACAACACTACCAGAGACAAAGGAAAAAGAAGGGCTTTGCTGCCAGGTTAAAAAAAAAAAAAATGCCACAGCAATGTAGTAGGCTAAGGATTTTTTTTTTTACATGGAACACAGTTTTTTTTTACAAAGAAACTTAATGCTAGGTGTTTTTTTGTTTGTTTGTTTGTTTTGAGAGAAACTATCTTAAATCGACAGGACTGCTTATTCTTTTTGGATTCTATACAACTTTTAAAAATAACAGTTTTATTGAGATATAATTCATGTACTATACAATTCACCCACTTAATGTTCATGATTCAGTGTTTTTAGCACTTTCAGTGTTCTTCAACCATTAGTCACCAATTTTAAAAATTTTCATCACTCCCAAATCTACAACTTTTAATTGAACTTGTTTTAAAATATAAAGACATATAGGATGGAGCAAGTAGGAATTTAAAAGATTAATCAGAAAGCTCTGAAACTTTTTATTCTTTTTAAAACATTCTAACATTTTAGAATGTATTTTGGTAATATTTAAGTTACTTTAATAAAGTGGTACATTTTTATGGGAAATCAATGGTTTAGATCTAGATCACAGAATATTTTTCAGGCTGTATGAAAGTGGTACTACTATCTAGTTACTCTAATTGTAGTAGTAATTAAGGAGAAAATAACCTCACATTGAATTTTTAATCATAAATTACTAGGTGATAACAAACGTATTTTTTAAACATATACCAAGCCGTACTCTAATTATATGAAAAATAAGATAGCTCTTATTAAATTATTAAATCTATTTACAAGAATTAACAGCAGTCCCATTATTAAATCTATTTACAAGAATTAACAGCAGTCCCATGGGCAACCTTGGGGGTCTGCCTTTAAATTTTGTGTATAAGAAAAATAGATTAAGGAACTTTTTCTTTTTTTCTTTTTTTTGTAATGGCCATATTTCTCTTGTAGGTGTGTGAACCTGTAAAATTAAGTCTTCCAAGATGATGCGGTGTATTTTAATTGTAGGGATTCTACTTCCCCATTCTTTGGCCCATCCAGGCTTTTTTACTTCAATTGGTAAGTCTTAACTCCTTTTCAGTTTATATCATTTTTACATTTAAAATTTTCCAGTTTTTAGTGTTTTAAATCAGTAAAAACAAATATACTGTATTCTCTAAAAGATGCTCTCTTTTTAAAATTCAATTTTGTTTTTCTTTAAATTGATTTTTTTTCTTATTACAAAAGCAAGACATTTACAGGTTAGAAACGTATGAAAATTTAGAAAAGCATATCAAAGAAAATTCTCTGTTAATGGCTCCACTCAGCAAAAAATTTAATGCTTACACTTTTTTTATGCACAGACGTACAAATAATATACTGCGTGTTATTTCAGATCTTCCTTTTTCCATTTAAGGATCTACTGTGAATACATTTTTTTCCTACATCATAATTTCTAAAAAATCTTTAAAATTGTTGCAAAAATAGCATATTATGTAAAGGGGGGAAAAAAACAGAAGTACATAGAATGTAAGACCTCCACTTGTCTTCTTTCTCCCTGAAATATTCCTCATGGTTCAATGTGTATCTCTTTATATTTTTCCACATGCATAGTGTCTTAAATGAGATGTTTTCCTTCATCTTATTGATCAGCTTTACCCTTGTGTGATTGTAGAGCCAATTAGAACAAATACATATTTGTGACACCTAATTTTGGAATAGAAAATAAGTCTTCTCATCCCATTATAAATAACTAAATATGAATTATTTTAATTTCAACTGTGAAAAATAACTTTTGTTACTGTGGTTTTTATTTGTGGAATAAAAATATAATTCTAATTAGCCTCAAAAGAAAAAAGGTGAGGGGAGTTGTGGAAGAAGAAGTATTGATCCTTGGAAAGTAGAATTGTTTTATTCTTAGATGAAAAGGCAATTTGCCTATAGTCCAAATTTGCGAAACTAAATAGCTTGAAAATTAGAATTGTAACACATGATTAGAAAAGTTTTTGATTTTATTTTTATTTATCTGGTTCAAAAAGAAAAAGGAAAAAGAAATGCTGTCTCCAACATACCTGATTCATGCCAGTTAAATCCTCTCATAGAATGAAGCATTCTTGATTATTCTTAGGTTATTTTAAAATATTTGTGTTGATGAATATGAGTATTTGATAACCTTCTTCCTTTCTCTTCCTTCTAGGTCAGATGACTGATTTGATCCATACAGAAAAAGATCTGGTGACTTCCCTGAAAGATTATATTAAGGCAGAAGAAGACAAATTAGAACAAATAAAAAAGTAAGCAAAGCGTTTTACTTATAATGACTCTGACTCTATCCACCTGGCTATTTTTTTCTAGAGCTAAAACATTGAATGAAAATGAAAGCCATCTGTTGATAATAGCCATTCTAATAGGTATGAGGTGGTATCTCATTGTGATTTTGATTTGCATTTCCCTAATAGCTAGTGAAATTATGCATCTTTTCATGTATCTATTGGCCATGTATATCTTCTTGGAAGAAGTGTCACTTCAGGCTTTTTGCCCAGATTTTAATTGGATTGTTTTTTTTTTTTTGGTGTTGAGTTGTATGAGCTATTTACATATTTTGGATATTAACCTCATTGAATTGTATAATGTAAAAACAAGCAACTAATTGTCTATTTCAATAAAGCTGGAAAAAAAAGAAACCTTTATAATTTTACTTTTAAAAAGAATTTTTAGATATAGTTTTAAATCAAAAATCTCTAAATGGTTTTTTTTTTTTTTTTAGCTGGTTTACTAAATTGCGTTTTTCATTATTAAGTGTATGTATACTCCATTTATATATGTATAGATGGGCAGAGAAGTTAGATCGGCTAACCAGCACAGCAACAAAAGATCCAGAAGGATTTGTTGGGCACCCTGTAAATGCATTCAAATTAATGAAACGTCTGAACACTGAGTGGAGTGAGTTGGAAAATCTGGTCCTTAAGGATATGTCAGATGGTAAGTCAGATGGTAAGGCTGATGAGCCAGAAAAAGTAAAGCAGTATTGCTACCACCTGTAGAAATGCCAGAAGTAGTCATAAATTCAGTTCCCAGAATATCAAATGAATTATTGCTGGGGTTTGTTTTGTTTGATCAGAATTCTTTTATTCTAGATTTCAAATTCCTTGATTTAAAAAGAAAGGTGAATAAAAACTGGAAACGAAATAAAAGTAAAACTGTCAAAAAATAATTTCTGCAATTGGTGACTAATACAGGCGTGTTTTGCTTTGAAGTCTACAAAAGAGACTTGATTATTTGGCATATAGCTTTATTGCTGAGGGTAGTCATTTTCATTTTAGGATTACCTTCAGACTTTAAAAATTTATGGATAAATTTTATCCTAATCAACACATGCATTCCACTGTAAGGAAACAGTGTTAGAGGTGTTATATATATAGTATTTTGAAACTTAGGATTGTTTTACTTAATGTAGACAATAAATTTTAAAACTGGGGTTGCAAACAGTAATAATGAATGTCTTTCTAATTGAAACAATAAGTTGTAGTTGGAGTATTTAAGTGTTTAAGATATTTTAGTAACACAGAGAACACTAAGTCTAGAGTAAAGGGATTGTGCTTAATACATAGAAGAGGCAAATATTTGTTGAATTACTAAAGGTGGCAAAAAAAGAGAGAGAGCGAGAGGGAGAGAAGGAGAATTGAGCTAGCTGTGTAGATAAACTACTCCAAGGATGCTTACAGTTTTTGTGAGCAGTAAACTATTTTCCGTAGGACAGGAAACCTAAAAAAGAAATTAAGGCAAGCACTATGAATATTTCTTCATGATGAGGGGGAAATAGAGATTATTTGCTTTCTTATATAACACTATGAGAGCAATTTTAAGGTCATGTATGTGTGGATTTACATACACACAGACACACACACACACACACCCACACACACATCTATCTATCTGTCTATCTATCTATTTATTTATTTATAAATTCTCAAGTAATGACCAAATGACCTAAGTTCTTCTACAGGTAAACCTTGAGACTGACATTTTAATTTGTGGTAGTCATCCATAATGCTATATATTTTTTTCTTTTATTAGAGGAGACTTAAGCAATTTCTTGGACTTTTGTTTTGGGGCATAAAAAACAATATAATCTATAAAACTTGGAAAACTTGCTTGTAAAATTCCATGTGGATATTGTGACTGAGAGTTGGTATTATTAAAACTAAGAAAATATGCTTGATAGGAACTTTAGCCCTCTTCCAGCAAGTTTTCATTTGTACATTTTCATTAACATAAAAATGCCTGGCCTCTTTGCTGATCAAAATACAGATAGTTGATAAGAAAATGAGAGGGGAGGGAAGTCATCTCATACCTTTTATTTGCAAATGATGATACATATTAAAATTTTTTCAATCTTTTTTTTTGTTGTTTTGATTACTTAAGCTTTAAGGAGTATTTGGCATCTTTTCTCCTTAAGGGTAATATAGTTACCAATAATTAGTTTGTTAGTTTGATTTTTGCTATATTTTATATAAAAACTTAAAATTAAGATTAGGTTTTATGTAGAGCAAATCTTGATCAATGAAAACTATATTTAATAATAAGCAGATCTAAATATATTTCAATAAACTAGCTTATCTGATGATCTTAAATATATAATTAATATCTCTTTCTCCCCTTGAAGAATTCCACCAAACTTTATATGATTACATACTAATTAATGTGTGGCACATGGAAGAAGAAAACAGAACTTTATTTAATAGCATACATTTTACATACCATCTGTTATCTGAAAGTATAATTGGTTGCCAGTGAATGTCATTTTCAAATCTATAAATCTGTTCATTTTTCATGCTTAGTGGAGGCTATATTGTGTAACTAAAAACTCAATTATTATGTGAGTTTATTAATACATACAGATATTATGTATGCAGTGATCTCAGATTAAGCAAAGTTAGAGATATAAGTTTCATTCAGTGTATTTAATATTTTTCCACTGAACATGTGAAATGTGGTATGGGGGGAAATTATGATAAAATCAATTTTGAATAGTCTTTGTAAAGACCGTATTGGAAATTGGAAGTCTGTGAGGTTCTAGAGTCTTCTTTTTTTTCTCCCTCCTATTTCAAGGCTTTATCTCTAACCTAACCATTCAGAGACAGTACTTCCCTAATGATGAAGATCAGGTTGGGGCAGCGAAAGCTCTGTTGCGTCTCCAGGACACCTATAATCTGGATACAGATACCATCTCAAAGGGTAATCTTCCAGGTAAGAATTCTTCTAGTCTATAAAACACCTATCCCCTGGCTTCTCAGTTCAGCCCGTTAGGACAATCAGTGTTAATGTAAAAAAAGATTTTTGTATTTCATTTAAGATTTTTTTACTTTAGTTTGAGGACAAAACAGCCCTCCCTTTCTCTAGGGTTTAATAGTGTGGATAAGCTTCTAGCGTATTACAGTGAAAGCTTATACTTATAGGGACTAACCTTAAGTAGGAAATTTTAGCGTGTAAGAAAAAGAAACATTTTCTAAATTGTTTTTCTTTACGTTTTTCTTTAGAATACCCAATGTTTCTATGTGACGTTATAAGGAATAATCAAAGTTATATGTTCAGTAATTTAAAAACCAAGACCTGTTGTGTATGTACAGATTTTTAAAGTGTTTTGCAGTGTGGAACATCCTGCTTTCTGACCTATTTTTGACAGAACTTTTTTTTTTTTAAGTTACAGATAATTGTTATGATAATTTGCTTTAAAATTGTTTTATTATACAAAAACATAAAATTTACCATCTTAACCAATTTTAAATGTGCGGTTTAGTGGCATTAAGTATATTCACATCGTTGAACAACCATCACACTATCCATCTCAATAGCTTTTTTATCTTGTGAAACAAACTTTATACCCATTAAACAGTAACTCCCATTTCCTACTTTCCCCAGCCTCTGGCAACCATCATTCTATTTTCTGTCTTTATGATTTTGACTACTCTAAGTACCTCATATAAGTGGAATCATACAGTATTTATCTTTTTGCGACTGTCTTATTTCACTTAGCATAATGTCTTCAAGAGTCATCCATGTTGTAGTGTGTGTCAGAATTTCCTTCCTTTTAAAATCTAAACTAGCATATGTATATACCACATTTTGCTTATCTATTCATCTATCAGTGGTCACTTGGGTTGTTTCCACATCTTGGCTATTGTGAATAATGCTGTGATGGTTATGGGTGTGCAAATACCTCTTCAGGACCCTGCCTTCCATTCTTTGAGTACATACCCAGAAGTAGAATTGCTGGATCATATGGTAATTCTATTTTTAAGTTTTTGAGGCACTGCCATACTATTTTCCATAGTAGATATACCACTTTACATTCCTGCCAACAGTGTACAAGGGTTCCAATTTCTCCACATCCTTGTCAACACTTATTTTCTCTTTTCTTTTTCATGGTAGCCATCATATTAGATGTGAGATATTATGTCATTATAGTTTTGCATTTCCCTAATTATCAGTGATGTTGAGCATCTTCTCATATGCTTAACACTCATCTGTACATCTTTGGAGAAATGTCTGTTCAAGCTCTTTGCCCATTTTTTAATTGTGTTGTTTGTTTTTTGTTGTTGAATTTTAGGTGTTCTCTACACATTCTGGATATTAATCCCTTAGGAGATACGTGATCTAGAAATATTTTCTCCCATTCTGTGGGTTGCCTTTTTACTCTGTTGATACTTTCTATGAACAAAATTATAAAATTTTCATGAAGCCCAATTTTATTTTTTATTGCCTTTGCCCTTAGGGTCATATACAAGGAATCATTGCCCAATCCACTGTCACGAAGCTTTTGTCCTGTGTTTTCTTCTAAAAGTTTTATTGTTTTAAGTCTTATACTTTGGTCCTTGCTCCATTTTGAGTTAATTTTTATACATGGTGTTATGTAAGCATTCAGCTTCATTCTTTATGTATGTGGGACATTCAGTTTTCCCAGCACCATTTGTTGAAAAGACTGTCCTTTCCTCCATTGAGTGGTGTTAGCACCCTTGTCAAAATTCATTTGACCATATGTGAGAGGGTTTATTTCTGGACCCTTCTATTCCATTGGTCTGTATGTTTGTCTTTATGCTAGTACCACCTTGTTTTGATGACTGTAGCTTTGTATTAAGTTTTGAAGTCAGGAAGTATGAATTCTCCAGTTTTGTTTTTTTTTCAAGATTGTTTTGGCTATTTGGGGTCCCTTGAAATTCCATATGAGTTTTAGGATGGGTTTTTCTGTTACTGCAAAAACTGTCATTGGGATTTTGATGGGGATTGATTGTATTGAATCTGTAGATTGCCTTAGGTAGTAGTATTGACATCTTAATAATATGAATCTTCTAATCCATAAACATGGATGTGTTTCTATTTATGTCTTTAATTTCTTTCAGCAGTGTTTTGTATTTTTCATTGTACTTCTTTCATCTTGATTAGGTTAATTTTTGAAAATTTTGTTTTTGGAATTGTTTTAGTAATTTTCAGATTGTAAAGTGCTAATATACAGAAATGTAAGTGATTTATTTTTGTGTGTTGACTGTGTCCTACTGCTTTGCTGAATTTATTAACTCTTAACAGTTTTTTGGTGGAATATTTAGGGATTTCTACATTTAAGATAATATCATCTGTGAACAGAGATCATTTTACTTCTTCCTTTCCAGTTCGAATACCTTTAATTGCTTTTTCTTACCTAATTGCTCTGGTTAGAACTTCCAGTACTAAATTGAATACAAGTGGCAAAAGTGGGCATCCTGGTTCTTGATCTCAAGGAAAAGTTTTCAGTCTTTCACCATTGAGTATATTTGCTGTGGGTTTTTCATCTAGATATGTCTTATTATGTTAAAGTAATTTCCTTCTATTCCTAGTTTGTTGAGTTTTTCTTTTTTTTAATCCTGAAAGAG